ATAGCTGGCCAATCAGAGCACACCTCGCTTTTCAGACCGATGAGCTTTGTAAAAATCGACACGTTTCAGAAAGGCGGGGCATAGAGGAGAAACAATAATGTACAGTATGTGGAAAATAATGTGTTTTTTTAACCTTAAACCGCATAAACACATTTCATCACACCAAATACACAAAATAATGTTCTTTTTAGCAACATCATATGACCCCTTTAACGTAGTCTATGGAAGCCATGGAATAAAAGAATCAAAAAAGGTAATTTTGAGTTTATATTTCAAAATTCTGACTTTTTTCTTGCAATTCCGAGAATATATCTCACAATTCTGGTAAGAAAAATCAACTCGTCATTCTCTCTTTTTCCCTGGGCTCAGAATCACAAGTTTATAATCCCACACTTCTGGCTTTTTTCCCTCAGAATTGACAAACTCGCACTTGCTGAGTTGAATTAGGAGATATAAACTTGCATTTGCAAGAAAAAAAAAAGTCAGAATTGTGAGATAAAATAGGTCAATGTTACGTAATATGTAGGTTTAAATATTATTTCATGCTTTAACTGTAGGGCTAATACAATATGTCCCCTATGTTAATATTATATAGACCTATTGTTTAAATCAAATTTATTCTTTAAAAGTAGGGTAATCACAGCAGGTATCATCTATAGTCTGTCTGTTTAAATGTCTGCGTTTAGCTTCAAATGGTGTCTTTGACAGCAGTATTATATAAAAATGCATTCAAATTTGCATTCCGATTCTGACATTCAAAGGCACAATTAATTTTTTCTCCCTCCACAATGCGCGAGCAGCTGCAAGTGACGTAACTGTGACGTCTACTCCAAACGGGTCAAATCCTAGAGTTAAGGCTATTGCATTTACTATGGCTTTTACTATACTATACATTTATTATAGTTTGTGTGTAAAACCTACCTTGTTTGTTGTTAATTCTCATGGTTTATGTAATTTTGTTAAGGGGTAATAAAAATACTGTTTGACAGCAGTAAGACAGACTTTGTTTTTCTATTTCTCTTTCTCTAGAATAATGTTGCAAAGGCAACAAGTATAAGATATATCATCATAAATTATGCTGCATTGAAACATGATCCTCATTGGAAGATTGTACCCTAGGTAAAAATATATCTAATAACTGAACGATTTCATTATCCACAGGCTACACTGTCTTCTGACATTTTTTTGTATTGCCTATATGTCAGTAACAAGAGACTTTATTAAAATGACAAATGCCTTTTAGGACAGTAAATGCATCTATGTTGCTTGTTCATCTACTAAAACAAACCACACAGGCCATATATACTGTGGCCATACTAAGAGTGTTCAGCCTTCCAAATGTAAATGGACAGTCTGTGGTTAATGTAGCGGCTCATTGGCAGTGTCAGAATGATGGAGTGTATGGCTCTGGCCAGTATGCACTCTGCTTTGATGAGTGTGTGATGTGGATGCAAGCCACGCTCACAGATGCCCTGCTGCTGACAGATTGAGATGCAGCTGTAGTTTATGTTTGTTATAAATATCAAACCAACCAGTGACACACCAATGTTTCATGGGACAAGGATCAGCTGTGAGGCTGCTAATCCGTCTGGAAAGATGCTTCTTTTAAAAAATGTAGATAAAAAATGTCTGTGCTAGAAAAGTTACGTCCATATAACGGTGCACGAAGCCACCGAAGTTATATATAAAAAATATATTTGTTCCATTATAAAGAGATATTTAATTGTTGCTGTAATTAATTGATTTGTACTTTAGTTTAAAATGTAATTCTTCATGCACGTCCCTTTCTAAAGTGGTCTCCTCATTCCGAACGTAAAAGTTATTCTTTAATGTAAAATAAATGTTTACAAATCAATGAATGTCTATATGAAAAAAAATATTAATAATAATTTTAAATAAAAAATTCATTTTAAAAACAATTATATTATAAAAAAAAAGTTTATGGTGACGCATGTTAATTTCATGCATCACCATAAACACATTAAAACAACCTATCATATGAATTACAGGGTTAAAGATTTATCGTTTTAGATGTGATTTGAGCAGCATATGAAAAGTGGTGCTAATCAAAATATTTATATTTAACTAGTATTATCTAAAAATGTTATTTCTCATAATTCCTCTCTTTCCTTAGATAACATTTCACTTCACTATTCTCTATTTTTGCACTGCAGTGTCTAAACCATAAATTAAAAAGTCAAACATACATATTTTTAATATATTAAATGTCATACATATGTATACATAACACACACATGCATATATGTGTGTATTATTTACTCACTGAAATAATTTCTCACTGCGTGTACTTAATAAAGACAGAACTAAAAAGACAGTGGTTTCTTTATTTGCAAATTAATCACAAAAATATTGGCTACCAACAATAAAAAATATTAACAACGGTAGGTTTGATTGTACAGTCCAGATGATTATTTCTTTACAGTTATTTTTTTCTATCTATTCATACCCTACATTATGATAAAGAAAGCACAATATTGGCAGTGTGAAAGTCATGGGGACTCTCTGTATGTCTGTGTGAGAGTGATTGATGTATTAATAAAAATCATATTTTTTAATTTCTCTCTGTTCCATTCACTCAAAATAAATGGGTTCTGTACACTGCGACAAATTTTATTCAAACATAATTTTGTGCTTGGTGCAAAACTTCCCATTTTACCAGGAAACACGATATTGCATTATTTGATGTCAGTTGTTGGCTTGGGAGCAGGAATATTAAATGATGATATCAAGAAAAAGAAGAACATTCCGTGTGCGATTATGATGAATCCGAGAGCAGCATGTAAGGTGCATGGTTCTATACTGCAGACAGTTGTAAACTACTTACATTTGAACCAAAACCAAGTAAAACGATCTGTAAAAGTTACTGGTAATACAAAATACTCTGTGGACCCAAAAGTATTCCTGTGGACTGGTGCAAAATCTGTGTGTGAAGTGATGTCCTTGCACACAAGATATGCATTGTACGCTTTTCCACTCCTTGGTCAACAACACAAACATTGTGCTTCTCAAGCATCATACTTCGAGGTCAATGAAGAAAATTAAGGGTTGTATAATTTTTACAAATAAAATCTGTATTATAGAAAATAAACGCTCTGAGATACTGTCAGTTCTCCATTTGTAATATTGCCAACCCCCTTCCCAAGTGTCTATCCTAAAGCAGGGAATATCAGGGGTGATTAATCATCAAACATAGTTCAATTTGTACTTTTTGGCGCCTTTTTTTTTCTTCCAGAACTCACAAGTGTTATTATTAAAATGCTTGACTAAAGGATGCACTTGAATCGAAATGCCAAATGACTGTAGAGGCACACAGCTGTTAGAGGAGACTGATATATGCTGCTTGAAGTGACTCTGATGTAATTGTGCATGGAAGTACGGAAGTAATAGTGCACAAAAACCTTTCAAAGACGAATGAAAAACAGAAGGGAACAAAATTAAATCCAATTAATTTTATGTTATCCATAAAATGAGATTTGGGTTCGTTTCATGACTTCTCATTTCAGCAGCAAGCGAAATTAAATCCATTAACGCAGTGGTTTAATTCAGCCCCAGTGACTGGGTTAAGGGCCTTTGTGGAGCTTTCTGTGGATCGCCCTGCCTGCCACTGAAAAGGCATTGTGTCTATTATATAGCAACCTTGCTTACATTCATATGTGTAATTCATACGGTTCAGTAGCAGTGAAGAGTTCCCACAGAACACAAGTCATATAAAATGGCCTTTTAAAATGGTCTCTTGGCAGAGGCAATACATTCCTGGACACATTCTGATGACAACCCTGAATGAAAAGTGATTAGATGTGATATGCTAAATAAATCACATAAAAACAGAAAAAAAGGGTAAAACAATCATTAAAACAAGATAAAAAAGGTGATAAAAGGATTATTGGCTGACAGGTTTTATGCATTACTATTAAAACTGCAATACCCTTACTTAATGCTCCAGTGAGATTTGTGATATAATGCCAAAATAACACATGGGTCCAGTTCTCGACATTCATCATTCGAATTAAGATTAAAAAGATCAGCCCCTCGAGGCCTGTCAAAACACATCAGCTTGTATACTTTAGTGAATTATCCATAATTGGCTTGATAAAGTTGCATTAAGGCAGTTACTGCACATACAACGGGCCAAAAACATACCCAGCTTTTTTACAGTTTCATATTTACAGTCACATTGATTATGGATGTAGCTTATCTGTGTTTTAGTACCACAATTTGTCACGCATTATTAAGCTGTCCTGTGGATTTGCAACTAATAGCCATAAATACATCATAATGAAATTTCACCTTTAAATGTCACATTTTAAGCCCGGAGGGTGCAGCTGTAATGAATGGGCTCAATATCCTATGAAATAAAAACCGTTTAAAACAGAAGAATGAAACTACAAGGCAAACAGCCTTGTGTTGTGCAACACAACACATGAAATGAGTGTTAAAAGAATATTTAACCAAGAAAACAAAGAAAGTCTGACTTTAAGGTACCACCCTGGCACTTAATTATCTCTTGCGGACTTGTGTGTATGTCCTACAGCTCCGCCAATAGAAATATATGCCCTCCTCTCCCATATTGCATGTCCATTTGTTCTGACATTATGTCTCCCTGGTACTTCAACACTCCAGACAAGTAGAATGTCTTTTGGAAGCCTTCGTTGTGATCCCATGTTCGAGCCAAGGATTGTAGCGGGTGTACCCCAGGGCTATGTCCTGGGCACATCACTGTTCTCCAAAATGGAACAGAGCCACTAGTGCACCTAAGCGCATCGTTCGCTACCTCTTTGTCTTGTCCTCTAGAAGCTCAGTTCTCTGAACTGAAGGTCCACAAAGCCGCTGGAGGCTTGACAAACCACCGTGGCCAGTAGCTTACAGGGGTGGACAAGAGGGTGAGTCCCCTCAAGAGCAGAAAGAGGGGTGTCCGAGTCTGACCATTGTGTCCCCACCCCCCTCTTCAGGTTACCTGCTGTGGAGCAACTCTTCCCTAAGCCAGCTAGGCAGCGGCTGGCCCATTTTGTACAGCAGCTTGGAGAGCTCAATGTTGTGCTCATGATAATACTCTCTCAGGAAGATCCGGGACTGTGGAGGAAGAGGATGGGTCAGTTTTTCTGCAAAATGTAATGAACATGTAAAGTCATGCTCAAGCTATGTGTGGCTTTATTATAAATGTCTAGCATTTATTCAATTTCCCAATTTTTACATTTAGATTAGACTGACTGATGCTCACTTAAATTGGATTTTTAAAAAACACTTCAACATCAATTTAATTTCATAATGTACATTGTTGTAATGTCCAAATTCACTTCTAGAATTTAAACCGTTCAGCATTTTATTTTTAATTTACTTACACTAGATAGTATAGAATGTTAATATCAGCAATAACCAAAAAAAAAAAACATTATCAGCTTATTGTATCAGGAATATTTTTTACTGAGCACATGAATACATATTTGTATAGAATGATTATTTAAATTAAAGTGCTTTTTCTATAATTATTTTTGACCTTTTGTCACTAATTGACAAGAACAGTATAGAGTGGAAAGGAAATGTACGCCAAAGCATGTGCACTAACCACCAGGCAACGATACCAAAGACTAACGATGCTAATTTTCTACAGCATTAAATTTTCATTAATTTAAACATCATCAGCATCACTCATCTACTTTTAAAATGGCTTATATCCTCATGTTAAACAGCTAAACATTTTTGACTGTATATTAGACCAAACACCTCCAGCCTAGAAATTAACCTTAAGCCACTACTGTGACTATGCATGTTAAATTACAGTGTCCCCCTCTGTGTACAGCTTTTTCTCTCAAGAGTGCTGCTACTGCGACTGCTTCTGCAAAGCCACGACACATCAGGCTGTTCTTTCACCCCTCATTAACTTTGATGTGTCTGCCCAAAAGCCTCAAGGTAACATCAAGGTCCTCGGCATCTGACTGAGCCTCTCTTTATCATAGTCTGTTAAAAGATCTGACTGAAGCTGTGCCCTTGTAGAAAATACACCAGTCTGAATGACCCTGAAGTAACAATAATTTGGGGGCCGCAAACAGACTTATAGAATGTTAAGTTAATTGTACTTGTGTGTGTGTGTGCATATATATATATATATATATATCAGGGCTGTAAAATCGTTTAATAATGAGATTAATTACATCCAAAAGAAAAGTTTGTGTTTACAATAATATAAGTGTGTGTGTACTGTGTATATATATATATATATATATAAAACACTAAAAAATACATGAATATATTTAAGAAATATATGTAATATATTTGTATATAAATCATACATAAATAAGGGGGTCTGAATACTTTCCGTACCCACTGTATATATATATACATATACACAGCACACACACACACACATATTATGTAAACACAAACTTTTATTTTGGATACACACACACACACGTACATACTGTATATACACACACACACACACACACACACACACACACACACACACACACACACACACACACACACCTATTTCGGAGTAAAATTTAATATTCAACAGGAAATTTGAGACTAATTTCATCCCATAGGAATACTGTCTAGACTTGATTAGACTGTAGATTCTAGGCTATATGATTTTATTGGTTATTATTTTTTCTATTTTACATTGAAATCTTATTTAACCATATAGACTACCGGTTCAAAGTTTGGGGTCAGTATGATTCTTTTTTTTTAAATTATAGTTATTAGTTATAATTATTATTTTACTCCGCAAAGGCACATTAAATTGATCAAACACACAGTTAAGACATTTACAATGTTACATCATAATTATTTTTAAAATGCGGTTCTTTTTAACTTTCTATTCATCAAAAAAAATTAATCACAGTTTCCACAAATATATGTGGGACTGTTTTCCACACTGACAATAAGAAATGTTTCTTGAGCACCAAATCAGCATATTAGTATGATTTCTGAAAGATCACGTGACACTGAAGACTGGAGTAATGGCTACTAAAAAGTTCAGTTTGTCATCATGTGAAAATTTCACAAAACAAATGTTTTTATTTTATTTTTGATAAAACAAATGTAATGTTGGTGAGCATGAAAAACCTCTTTCAAAAAACAAAAAAACAAACAAATGACCAACCTTTTAACCCTCTACCGCATGGTGTGGCCATTTGACAACATACTTTGAGTGTTCCTTTCCTTGCCACTGTGTCTTTAAGAGAACATTCTCATTTTTTCGTTGGAAAGAGAAGACCTTAGTTTAGCCAATGATGTGCTTTGGTTAAGTCACATGACATGCAGTTTTTTTTCTGTGGCGAGATTTCTGGCAGACTGCCATCTCTTGTCGGTAGTGTCAGTAACAAACAAGGACCAGTCCATGTCACTTCCACAAAAAAAAATCGGAAACATCACTGTTATGATGTTATGATGACATATTCACCTCTCAAAAAAGTTTTTATGAAATATCTCAAAGGAGGCTTTTATTAAGCAAATCAAGGAGAATTTGTTGGGCTTGATTCAAGTTAATGCACAATGAGGTGCACACTTTTTATTTAGTCTCATTGAATAGACGATAAACAGTTTATATTCTAAAATCTATTTAAAGGTTGTGTTCTGTGAAAATTAACTAACATTTGGAAGTAAATGGTCGGCATAAAAGTAGTGTGCCGCTAAACCGGCTGCGTCCTGTGGATCACCTTTATCTGATTGTCCGGGTCCGGAATCATTAAGCACGGCATTAATATCTTCATCTGAGTTTTTCGTTGTCTCCAGATTTCTCTGCAGTTCGTGTATGTTGTTAAAAACTCGGAACATAATTTTATTCCACACAACAGGCAAGCATTATCATTAAGTCTATTATCCACCAAAATGCAGATTCGTCACGTGACTATTCTTACGCAAATGAGATTGAGGGAGAAGTTAAGTTTGTTTTGATTTATTAATTTACTTACAACAACAATTTAAAATGTATTAACTTTTACGTATTCACTTTTACATGTATTATTAACTGCATTATATACATTTTTACTTCATAGAAAAAACTTTATAAATAAATATTTAGTAAAATTCTTAAAAGTTGTTGGAAAGTATTTATAAGGTGTCAATTATAAGTACTGTGTTAAAGCTTATAATAGCACCAGTTGAATCAACACAAACAACATTTCTGAGGAAAAATATTAACTATAAGTAAACTTACACTTATTCTAAGTTAGATCCACTATTGTATGCGGTTGCCGTATGGCAACAAAATTTTCCCCAATTTTTTTTTTTACATCACTTCAAGTTAAGCCATTCTTAGAAAAGAAAAAGAGTCAAATATTTTTTTCTATAGGTCTGTCATAATGTGTGCGGTAGAGGGTAGTGTATTTCAAAAAAACGAATTTTAATCGAATTTCATGCAGTTTTTGCTATTGAGATTATGAAAACTGAAGAGATTTGAGTCAAATATACCAAAAATGTCTAAGCTTCCTTTCCCCCCCAACAATTTGTTATGTCAAGCAAACTAAAAAAGACAGGAATGTGAACCAGAATCATAATCTCACATCAACGTCCATGTCAGGATATCGCCTCCCTTTACTCTTCCCCAGGCATTTGGTCTTCCCTCCATCTAGCAGCTGGCACCAGAAGCCCTTCTTCGGATCGAACCTGCAGCAGGAAGGAAGGGACAAAATGAAGGACAGGCAGCAAAAACAGGACAATGTTTCAATATCAGCCTAATCAAAAGGGAACATAAACAGATGGTGCACAGCAAGGCCTCCTGAGAAGGGCTGCCACAGGACAAACCATCTTCACTGTACAGTGAGAGATGTGGTTGACAGATGTTACTGCTTATGAGGTTATGTGGAACAGCATGAGACAGAGGACAGATAGAGAGAGAAAGAGAGACAAGTGGAAGGGGTTGACTAAAGAGAAAGAGTGTACATGAGGTGGTAGAGAAGCAGGGAATTAACAAGCACCCTTGAGAACCTGTCAGATTAAGGGGATCCATCAGGACGAGGAGACTACTGTGAAACACTTCAAAGCAGCTCTAAACCAAACACTCCAGGTGCTCAATAATGTATTGAATATTAATGACTTTTAATTATCAATCATAAAAGAGAAATGAGAAACTTTGAGCGTTTGGGGACAAGCTTCTTACGCAAGGATCTTGTGGTAGTTGAGCGTATTTGTCAGGCCTAGAAACTTCTGGATTTTGTCCATCACTAAAGCTGGTTCTGTCCTCAGCATCTGTCCATCCAGGACCAGGATCTGAAAAGAAACAAAATGGTTCATATAAATCACAGAAACAACCTCAAATGCACAACGAGCCTATGGACACACACAAACTCAGCTCAATACCTGACTGGGGTGATAGTGTGTGAGCCAGCGCTGTAGGTGTGTGGCGTAAAGTCCGGGCACTAAACTACGGCTCTGCAGGACTCTCAGTTTGATGGGCATGTCCCGGCCAGCAGTGATGACATCATGGAATGTATATTTCTGAGCCACAGGATCATCATGAGCCCTCTGGTGCTGGAAAACAGCAAAAGACAATGAATATACATTTTTGTGATAAAAATACAGTGCTGTGAAAAAGTAAGTACACCCGCTGAAGTGCATTTTATTTCTAGGTTGAGTATTCTGCAGAGTTTTCTTGTGACGGGGCAGGCAGAGATTTATGTTGAATTAAATGCCGCATGCAGCTTATTGTGTACCCAACATTTATCATCATTCATTACATAGATCATATGCAACGGCTTGGCAAAAAAGTAAGGTCTTCTTAGCTTGAAACTGTGAGCACATAGAATGCAAAATAGGTGCAGTCTTTTTAATTTTAAACATGCAGTGATCATATTTACTTAAGTAAATTACAAACTTTTGAAGTAAAATAATCACATAATTAATATGGTACATAATTAGTATATTTTTCATTCCAAGATATTTAATGACATTAAGACTTTTTAAGGATGTATTTTTTCCCTGTATTACTAGAACATACAGATGATGAATTTTACAGATGTTAATAGATAAAAGGCAGTATAATTTTACAAATGTTTACACTTAATGTTATGTAAATTTTATAATGACTTGTACAGATTGCCAACATAACTGCAACTATGATTCCACATTATATCAAATAATGCTTAAGATGAACATGAAGCCATGTGTAAAAAATCCCCCCCAAAAAAACCTTGAAGCTACATTTGACTCAACTTCACATGAAGTTGAGGATACATTTCAACATGACAATGAATCAACACATGCAGCAGACCCACAAAGGAATGTTTCAGAAAAAAGTTTTACTTTTAGAAGTCAAAATCAAAATCTCAATTCAACTGAAAGGCTATGAGGAACCTGAAGTGGGCCATACATGTTAAAAATCACTCCAGTTTCACAGAGGTAATGAAATTCTGCATGAAGGAATGAATATAATTACTTGTAGTTGACTTAAGAGACTAACAGACAATTACACAATTTGTATAAGCTGCTAAATGTAAATGTGTGGGTGTACATCATTTTTTATACCATCTTCTTCCATCCATACTACCCAAATAGTTACAGTATCGAAATGCCTCCATTTAAAAAGGAAATTTTTCATTGGCTGTACTTTTGTATTTTTTCCCGTTTGCAGATCTAATCTAGGGTCCAGAGCAGGCATCATGGCCTTGACTGCCCCTGGATGTGACTGGATGACACATGAGTACTTAGATACTGACCTGATACCAGGAATATGCTCTGTCAGCCGGGTTGATAAGGATGGTGATGATTTTGGCTTTGGGCAGAAGAGCAGCTGCTCGCCGGGCCGCGACCTCTGAGTCGAAGTAGTTGGCACTTTTCTCAAAGTAGAAATCTGAGCTAGTGTTGGAGGGTAGAGGGAAATACTCCATGTACCTAGCATTAAAAAACAAAAACAAAACAGCATTTCATTAAATTTAGTCCACACTTCTGAGGGAAGTACGACTTGCCAAAATAAAATCTATAGATAAAATATTTAAAGCATATCACAATGTTAGTTTAAACATTTAACCAAAATAAATGTGCTCTGTTAGGCACATATCCGATTGTTTGTGCAGAGAGCGGAAGCTGAAGCACGCTTCAGGACATCAGTGGAAACAAATTAAATACGCTGTCATTTTTGCTCATACAGGTAAGAATAATACATCGTTCGGAACTGTAAAGGGTCTATTTTATTTGTGTGCAATTAAAATATCAACAAAACATTATGCTTTTGTAAAATAAAGAAAACAAATAGGATGCGCTTGCCGTCTCGGTGTAGAACGGGAGCGCTTCACAAAAATTAACCGAAACTTAGCGAATATTTTCCTTACAGACATGATGAATATATCTAGCTATAGAAAGCTTTAAATGACCACAAAACTAAATAATTCAAATCCAAAAAAACTCTTTCATAATGTAATCCGCAAAGATGCATTTCTTTTCGCGTCCATGATGAGATTGCGAGTCAGGATCATCTTTGCGACACTGACTCAGAAAACACTAGTTAATAAATAAATAATTCAAAAATCTCTTTACTATTTCCCCCCCCCAACATATTCATGGTAACTTCTGCGGCAAGCTTTAGCCTATTTAGCGCGCTCACATCATGTTTCTGTGCGCCATGGTCACAAAAACTATCTATAGAAACCTTTAAATTACTACTTTAACGAAATAATTCAAATCGTTAATCCATTAATCATTAATCCTTAAAGATGCATTTCTCACTAAAGGCACGTCCAATGAGGACATGACGAGTCATGACCGTCAACTTCATCTTTGCGACACTGACTCAGAAAACACTAGTTAATAAATAAATAATTCAAAAATCTCTTTACTATTTCCCCCCCCCCAACATATTCATGGTAACTTCTGCGGCAAGCTTTAGCCTATTTAGCGCGCTCACATCATGTTTCTGTGCGCCATGGTCACAAAAACTAATTTGCATGCATTTTTAAGCATGGTGGTTTAAAAACAAGTGATTTAAGCCACTGAAACGCAAACAACAGAACTACATGTGCGAGCTGCATGTTTCTGAGCGTGATTTCAATTGGGTCGGATTGAGGTCGGGTCATATCCACACCTTAAACGAACCATACCAGAGTTCGTTTGGAAGTGGACCGAGACCACCTCTTCAGCTGGGTCTTGGTACGGTTGTTTGGTCCGCACCAGAGTGCGATTGCTATATTCACACCTGCCATAGCTTGCATTAGCTGATTCTCAGCTGATCACATCTACCTATAGGAATACGACACCTATCGCGGCATTCCTATATAAGCTGTATTCAGTATTATTCAGCAGCTTTTTAGCTTGCTTCGGAGCAAATTACCCTCCTCCATCCCCAGCTCCACCTTTCGCCACAGTCAGGACTTAGCTTTCTGATATTCCTTGCTAATCAGACTCCTTTATCTTGAATAAAGTGTTACACTTAAATATCATTGAGTACATTAATGATATCTGCATTGTTCTGTTCTGTTAACCCTAGGGGGGTTATTATTGCTGCTCTCCCTGCTCATTCATGACAGGCTGCATGGATGGGCAGGGAGGTTTTTTGCCCAGAACAGAACCATACCGCCAAACCAAACTTTATGCTAAGTATCTATCATTCTGACGATAGTGGTCCTGACAGAACTATATTAGCGTCTAAATCAACACATTAAAACTTCTGCTCATTATACGCACATGGCGCAGTTTTGATGCCTGCCACTTTAAACGCTGATGTTTTTATCATTCATCAGCTGGAAAAAAAAAAGTTTCGAAAGTGATTCCAACCATATTGTTCCTCTGTGACATTATCAAGTTACTATTATATAGTTGTGTTGTGGGTTTCCCTATTCTAATAGAATTAAAACGTTATAGCTAAAGTTATTGTCCTTGGTATGAATGGGTTTTCAATCTGATAAATGTTTATTTGCATGCGCACACTAGCAAATAAGCAACCTTAAAACTAACATATGTCGGGGTGGGGCTTTAAATCAAGCATGATTCTAAGGAGACTGCAACCACCGAAGTTGGTTAAGTATGGAGGAGACATTTTCTTTCACAATATCACCACATACCAGTCAATGCCTTTGTGGTAGTTTCGGCCATTGAAGAACTGGATTTCTTCAAAGGTCTCCTTACTGGGGTAGTTACTGGTCAAATCGGGATGCATGCCCAGGAACAGATAAAGAGCAGTAGTTCCTGAACAGACAAGACAGCATATGTCAATTATATAATTTTTAACAAAACAATTGAAAATCAAACTTAAATGAGTAAAATCCCTTAAATATAATAACAATGATAATAAAACAATTTCATTAGTAGTCTCAAACTTCAATAGAAGAAAATATATGTTTGTACAGTATGTAGTATAAACCCTGAATTAATTTGAGCCAAAGAAAAAAGTTTCAGGGAAAGTTTACTGAAATGAGCATGCTAGCTAATATACAAGTCTAGAAAGTCAAGTTATAACAGTGCAAAAAAGAAAAAGAAATAAACGCCGGTCTAAAGCCCAACCCCCTAATCTAACTTTTATTAAGAAGATTAACACAGCTATTTTACTACCCACTCTTAGAGAGGGCTATTGCTCCCTGAAGACATCTTTAGAAGTTTAATTAGTCAATGCTGTAAAAATGAATTCACATTTACCGAGCAGCAGCCAGGGTACCTGTAGAAAGCCTGCATGTATATATAAGCCTAAGCCTGAGCCTGTAAGGAAATAAAAGCCCACCAACCCTGTTTTGCACAATTGATTTAAGAGCACTGGATGAAAAAAACATACCTGTTGCAAGTCAATCACAGCACTAATCCACCCCCTTTTATAAATACTTTTTGTAGCTGTTTACAAATGAACTGAGAAGAGCCAATGAATCAAGTAAGCCAATGATTCAGTCCCTTGCTTCATTTATGAATGAATCATCCATTTGAACAAATTGGTTGAATGAATGACTGACTCACTCATTAAAACAGTGACTTATCACCACAAACTGGTGGTTTTAGTTTTAAATAGGGCACTATTTGAGGGGACAGCCATTTTTATTGGTGTCTGAAACCATAGTGGACGTTCTCCTGTGCACTCTTTCAATCCCACAATGCACCGGAAAAACAAGTGTACAACTGGTGCAAGCTCAACGGCTAGAGAATACCCATAATGCACTGTGAGAGTCACGCGGCGAATTAATTCCCACGTTGCGCCAGAAGATGGCGCTCGCAGCTGAATAATCAATCTGTTCATATTACAAAGCACTCATCCATGGCGTACAGGTTAATTCAACACGGGTATAAATTCATTGTAAATTGATTATTAAATTGTTTAATTAGGGTTTGTACATATTTTCATTTTCTGTGACAGATTTCAAGATAAATCCTTTAATCTTACTACTGGAGCTGCTAGTTTGCCAGTTTCAAATGATTATTAAACAGCAAGCACCAACTATGCAAAAGCAGCAGTCCTTCTGGTGCACTCAGTGTCCAAATTCACTCACTCGTTTTCATTCACTCCTGAATTAGTGACCTAATGTAGGGAATAGTGAATGAGGGTATAGGGGGCGGTTTTCACACACAGCCTTGGAGTCTCTACTAATTAGCTGGTGACCTACATAAGGTGTGTTTTAATAAGAAGACTTGCAAAATGTGTTGCATTGGAGGGGTTTCGGGAACATGGTTGGAAACCACTGCTTTAAAATTTCTATTCGTCAATAAATTCGTAATAGAAAATTGGAGTAGTAGCCCAGTCCGAATAAAAGTCACATTGGAATGAATTGGCCAAATCCAACTGAAATTTCATTCTGTTCGATAGGACATGTAAACACTTGATCAGACTGAAAACCGAAACTGGAGAGCTATGCACGTGCAATGACGTAGAAATGGCGTAATGATGTATGACGCACAAAACAGCTGCTGTTGTTGAATCATAAGTGTCATAAATGACTGTCGTGTCAATTTCAAATTCTCCTTCCATTCATCATCTGTGAAATTTTGCAGGACAAATGTTGTCTCACCAGTCCTTGCTTCGGACTCTCATCCACAGACACCTTGTTTTGGGTGCGGGAAGTGGCATTTTTACTGCTTGATAAATAGGGCTAGGCAAAAAATTTTTTTTTTCGATTAATCGTTTTTTTAAATAACGTTGATTTGATATCGATTCTCAAAAGCTGCGAATCGATCTTTTCCGGTATTTGTTTCAGCACACATTTAAAACAACATCTGATTAACGCAATAATCTCCAGCTGCAGAACCTCAGAACCCTTACGTCACAGCAGCCTCAGGACAGCAGCGCCAGGCCAGCAGCGTCAAGCCGGAAGTGGGCGGAGCAAACGTTATCTTACTAAACATAGCGTCACGTAGTGTTTAGGATCATTTCAAAGTTTTAATCTACGGTGATGTCAAGTCAGCTTTTTTTTTTTTATAACGATTTAATCAGATGATAGATAGATGAGGTAGCTGATCAAAAACAAGGTGAGATTTATAAGGCTTTTATAAAACAAAGTTACTAATACAAATGCTGTGTTGTCATATTCTTATTCCAGGAGTAACTGAATGATATTCTATTATTTTAGAATGTTCCACAACAGTTGGCTGGCTCCGTTGACTGTTGGATCTTCATGTTGATGGTGAGAAAAAGGAAGATAAATTAATATATTTATATAAGCTATATGTGTATATATGTGTGTGTGTGTGTGTGTGTGTGTGTGT